GAAATATAGACTGCCAAAACATGATACCTGTGTAGGATGTAGGCTTCTAGCAGGAGTGATGGAAGATGGTGTACATATACTAGCAAGAAGCTTCGATGGATGGAAAGGTGGTTGTATTGTTTGGTGGTACTTTAACATTCGCGGAATTCTAAGAGACATGTGTTATCATAGTCTATTCAAAAGTTTAAAGGAGATTACAGGATTCGTAAAACAAGGTGGAACTTACTGTGTTCCACTATGGCGTGAGTTCTGTCACTGGGAGATGAATTTCGGGTATAGGGAATATGAAGATCCCACCGCTGTCACCAAAAATTTTTCCTATATTAACCTGTGACGTCTTGGAGGAGGAAACGTCACAGTAGAGAATGGGATGAAAATAGGAAAAGCCGGACGACGGACCTGTGCGCCTCGGAGCGGCTCGAGGGTCACCCAGGTATGTTACTATTATTTTATTTAATTTTATTAAAATAGGTTATGTCAATTTTAATTTTCTCTATTTTTTACAGAATTATTGGATCGTTCGGTGGAAATCTGGGTTCGCCAATTCGCGGAAACACCTGGTAGACGCATACACGTCCCGAGCAGGTGCTTGGAATTGGATTTTTATAAAAGGGCTTTAAAAATGAAAAATTTTGAATAAACTTTTATAATAAAATTTTAATCTTTATTTATTATCCTTTAAATAAATGCACCAGAATAATAACTTATTCGACGTTTTGCAAATACTTTTTATAATCTTGAATACATCTAATTAATAATTCATTCGGAAATTCGTTATGATCGTTAATTTTAATTGCTGTTTCGGTGTCGATAATTGGAATCTCGGTATTTTCTTCGTCATCCGATATTATTATTGTTGATGCTCGCGATGGAGGAGTAAAACAAGGCCTTTCGGGGTGACTTGGAACTCTGTTTTCTTCAATATATTGCAATTGTTCCCGTATTTCATGTAATATTTTATTCCTAAATCGTTTCGCTCTTTCTTTCCACGTTTTCTTTTGTTAGGCCTCCTTTTATGAACTCGTCCTGACTGCGTATTGAATTAATATATAGTTTAGAAAAAATTATACTTATTAAATTATTCAATCATTCTATAAACAATTCTTACTGTGTTTATATCCTTTTCCATTTAGATGGATCCGGAGCGCCTACAGGACTGCTCTATTCAGAATCCTTTATCTAAAATTCCAGGTCAGTGGGAGCGCCTACAGGACTGCTCTAGTCACACTTGCCCTTCGTTAGTTGAGGGGGAGCGCCTATAGCACTGCTCCACCGTTCAACCCCCTACTTAAATTTAGGTCAGGACGAGTTTGTAAAAGGAGACCTAATAAAAGAAGACGTTGAGCCGGTCAAAGGAAAAGGCAAAAAAATTCAGAAAATGATAATCCGACACCAGGAAACGAAGAAACACTTCTCGAAATACTTCCGGAAACATTTGATCAACAGGATGAAGATGATATAACTCCGTACGAAGAATGGAAAGAAGATACCACAGAAGACGAAACCAATCTCAAGAAATCAACTGGAATTATTTAACACTGATATCATCTACAACTAACAGCATTTATTCGCAGCAAGAATTACAACGTCCAAGAGATCATATAACACGTCCAATGAAAACCAACGGTGATACCAGACAATCGCAAGAGGCATGACTAACGAGAAAACAAATTCAGTCTCAAACACCTGAATATAGGATGAACAATCATCGAAAACTCACCAAATCAACGATCAGGAGAATTTGGAAAGATCCATGAAATTCAGATCCCTAACATTCACATATTGGGATCATTATTTTCGTCCACTAAGCATTTCTTGGTTTATCTTCATAAAGGAGCAAAAACGACCAGACACGAAGAATCCAGCGAGTCCATTCAGCTCGAGGAAGGAAACCAGCCAATTTTCCTGAAAATCGAAATACAGAATAAGTAATCATTGTAAAAAATAAATTTTGGACATTAGCCCAAAATTTATTTTCCATTAGGGGGAGGTGTCATATCCTCTCGTGTGTCACATTTTTACGTATTGCAATGTATAACTTCACATTATATTTTTTTTTTCGAATATATTTTTCTTGAACGGATGATAACTCTTTTAATACAAATAATTTTCATTAATAAAGTCGGAAAACGACAAATAGACTCTTGAGTAAGTAGTCATGGTCAATAATTCACCATGTATAGCACATATAAATATTAAATAATTAATCGTTCAATTAAAAAGAGTTACCATTCTAATATACGTTAGTATTACTATATACAGGATGTCCCAGAACTCCCTTTACGCCCGAAAATGAGGAGGAGCTGAGGTGATTTTAAACAACTTTTTCCTTT